GTCTTGAGCACAGACACTCAAGACACGGTATGCAGAGTAATTCCGGAAAAAAATATTTTGAAGCAACGATAGTTTGGATGAATAATCGTTATGTTGGAACATAAATTAAGTTGGGGTGTACTGTAAATTCTTGAAAACCAAACGCATCATAGTTTTGAAAAAAAATCCCACTTATTCTAGGATATACTTTTGCACTACTGTTTTCTATTTTAAACGACTTTGGCAACTCGGGAACATGAAACAGGTTCCAAATGAATCCTGATTCTATTAAAGAACCGTAACTGGGAGGAAACGTTTGGCCGTGTCTGCCGGCATAGGTTATTACACGTACGACGGCATCACCTCTAGCAACTCCTTGTTACTTCTAAACTTAATAACATTTTTCTAAGATTGAATTTGATGTAAATTTTATAAGAACGATTTTTGCTCATTTGAGTTTACGCAAGCACTGTGTCCTTCTATTTTAGGCTTGTAATAGAAAGTCAACCTCAGACACCCAACAGAATCTTGGTACGTTAACTGAGTGGTGCAGATTTGCAACTAAATAATTGCACCTGAACTGTCAGGGACGTTTAATAAATTAATAACAGTTTTACAAAACTTCACTCTTTTTCAGCCGAAATTAACTTTAACATGTATTAAAGCGACATATTTATAAGAGATGGAAGAGAAGTCTATTCCCTTGAGCATTATTTTTTTTCAACTTAAACCCAAGAACTGAGGATCGGCATTCTTTATTTAAACGTTTGTGAAATATACATTAAATCCTAGATGAATAGTACATGTACAAAATTGCAAAACTGTTTTTCTCAATAACTTTTGCAGTTTTGAGCCATATGTGAAACCATGCGCCACCACAAGCTGAGGTATATACACCGTTTTTTTCTCTTGTGAGTACCGAGCAGTCGGAACGTTTGATCGAGACTGGAACACGATATATTACGAGGAAAGTATGGTTAAGTCTTCGTTTTCTTTCTTTGGTAAAGTCGAAACCGAATCGTGGGGACAAAAATTGTCCCTGTATACGTTCCTAGCCCCACTGCATCCCACACAACTACCGAACACTTGGTGTGGTTTGTCTTCACTAGTCTGTGCTGCAGTGAATCGGTTGAGTAGTTTCAGCACTGCTAAATCTACATGTACATGTAGGCCTACATTTAAGTCAGAAGACTCATGTAATGCCGGCAAGATTCATCCCTTGCTACTTTTCATCATGACTTACTTTGCTGTTTCGTCGGTCGTGTGTTGTCCAGACGGATGGACGTTGTTGACGCAGATATAAGATCAAATTTGATTCTCCCGTGTTATCCAACGGAGCTGCGGGACAAAATCGGGTACCGTGCATTGTCGGGGATTTCCCAGCAACAGCAATCCCATTGAAACCAGCTCTATCAAAGGTCACAGAGAGGTGGCTCTGGCTTGAGTCTTGTACTGGAGAGGGCGGGCTTGATTTTCAAAAAGGGGAATGATTCGAAAAACATCGGGATCCCTGATTTTTTTTCTATCAGGATCAGTGCGAATATATTCGTTATCGAGATTGTACATTCTCATATTTTAGTGAGCACTGGATATTTCTGGATGTTACATTAAATAAAAGGATTAAATATTAAAGGAAGCAGGAAAGAGAATTTTATCAATAAATCTTACTAAAAACTCTTGAAATTGGATCTTTGGGTTTTAATTGGCCTTATTTCAAATTTTTGTTTTGCAATTTTAACCCATATTTTGATGCACTTTGGTTTTATGCTAATGCATATTTGCATATTCGTGAGCAGAACTGTGATGTTATCCGAGGCACTGAATCTCAATGTTGCACTGATTTATGCACAGAAAATTTCTAGATTTTTTAGCCACAGCTATGGCAGATTTTTTTAGCAATTTATTGCTGTGGAGGTATATAGCTATAGTCCAGCAAAAACCGTTTTCACAGAAATGTTTCCAGGTAGCAAATTTGGGATTCACAGTTAGAACATGAAAACATGCAACCTGGACCACGTCTTCCTAGATTTACATCAAAGCAAAAGCGCCCTCACTTGTCCAGAAATTCTTGGTCAATTTTTAATGTTGAAAAAAGTGCACCGTTCAGTTCACGTAACTCAAAAAAGATGTCAAACAGTCATTTCCTGGTTCCTTTAATTACCTTTAAGCTCGGCATCTATTGCTGTCTATTGTTTTAACAGTGGAGTATTACTCGTTTGAAACACCTTTTCGTGTAAGGTATATTTGAAGCACCTGTATAGATGCAAGATAATTCTTTACTCCAGTCCCACGGAATGTGCGAATTTCCAAATGCAGGTGTCATTCATGGCAAAAACCTTAAGGCTGCAGCTGCTTTCATATAAAAAAAAGTCTCCAGAATTTTAGTATTTTGCTGTAGTATATTTTCTCTTAATGATGAAAGCCACTGAACAACCCTCTTGGCAAGTGCTTCCAATTAGGAAATGACAGGGTTCACAACTGGAACGCACAACATGATCTGTAATATGAACAGCGCCTTCAGAGAATGGTATTGCAAGGTTACCTTCAGGAGTATACACAAAAATTTATGTTATAAGAAGTGCACTTTTAATTACAATACCTGCGGCCTATGACCTAGAGCAGGTTTTTTCTGCTCTCCAAAGAATCAAGAGAGAAAGTTGCTCTAAAACACAAAAATGCGAAGTCTAAAGAGGTAACATAATTTTCACATTCTACATTTCGTGACGTTAACACAAATGTTATGTATTTTGCAAAGCATGCATAATGCTTATGTAGCAGAAAAAAATGCCTAATTGTTGCTTTTTTCAACACTTTACGAATTTGTATAGTTACATGTGCATAACACTTTTAACGATAAAGCAGGGAACATGTGCAAGCTTCCAGTACCCGAATGGAATCCCGTGTTATATCCGAGCAGTGGTTTCTGACAATTGGTCCTTATAGCAGCTTATCTCTTTGCAATTGTTTTCGAATTAAGTTATTGGTAAACAAGTGGGGCAAGTTACATTCAGTATTGAGCGTGAGCTTTGTATTTGGAGCATGATGCAGAGTGTGATTTCTGCACCACGGGTCGGTGACTAAATTTGTGTAAGGCGAAACACTTATGCAAATCTGCTTTCAATACTTTACAGTCGTTCTAACTAGTAAAATAAAAGGTGTGTGAACGCATTCTTACCTTTGTAATTCGCTGCAGAAATTGGGGCGAGATGAAGATGTAGGCTTACCAAGTGGAAACAAAGCAACTTGTAGTCAATGGGTTAAGACGGAACAACCTCTTATCATATCTGATGCACTGACTGCACGGTTCTTCATGCAGTGTCACGGTTCTGATACAAAATACCAAGCTGCAGTGACATTGCGATGGTGTAAGGTTTTCCCTTTACCTGTTGTTTTCGTCTTATTTGTTCGAGTCGACCTACCAAGAATAGAAAAACCTACTTTCCTTTTGCATGTAAATACACGGAACACAATTGAAACTGCTTAGTCGAAGGCAAACCTGGGACTGTACATGTATACATGTTATGCTGTGCACACAGCATGCATGTCAAGCTTTATCAACGTAACCATGCAGTGAAAAGATGGGAGAAAACAGAAAATAGAGTGCCTGTAACTTAATAAAGCAGGAACAAAAAAAATAAATGGATTCATTTATCTCTTCCATTTGAGACGGTTGCGTTAAGATCGATCAACTCCAACTATCTTTAATCATGCAAATGCAACCAATCGAAAATTAACGTACACAATTCACCTAATATGAAAATGAAAAAACAAAGTGATCAGAAATGTTTCCCACAATCAAACATTATACGTTCAGTGACATTATGAACAAGCAAAGTAGCAGAGGGTTGTTCTCGTGGGGCGAAATATGCCCATTTTGCAATAATGAAATAAATTAACACAACAGGTTTAGCCAAAATTGCAAAAAAACCACCAAATTTTACCAAGGCCACGGTATTAAATAAAAGCAACTTGTAAAACACCTACATGAAATAAATGAACAAACAACAGTACATGTGTAAATAATCCACATAAATCCCAATCAAAAATATGCAAAGTAAATATCCAGAGTACTATATGAAGTCAGACTAGTACATGAAGTCATACATTTTCAACCTTACACTAACGTACGGCTTCAAAAGTTACAAATATACATGTAACCAAACCGTGCTACAAAATGCCATTTTCCCACTTGCATCACAGGCATGAGGTATCCTGTATCACAAGGATTTACGGAATTTAAAAAAAAAAAATTAAAAAAAAAGCTTTACATCAGAAATTTGCAAGATAAAGCGTTATGAATATATTGGATTAAGTTACAAGGAATTATTCACTGCACAAAAGCTAAGTACTTAGCGTATGTATTGAACATCGGGAAAACTTTCCAACTCACCGAAATATGGCAGTGCAGTAAAATCGGGCTCCAAAAGACTGCAGGAGACAAGAATCTGTAACCAGAATTCTACCACAACTAACAAAGGCAACGAATCCAAAACACGAGAGTGTCCTGAAAGTGGTGTTTTTGGTGCAGGGGTAAACCACACCTAAATGCACATACTTTTGGGTCGTGCCCTAAAGGGGGCTCACTGAATGCTTAGCATGCCAGGAATGGACACAAAACAATTTGGTCATGTAACCCAAGCAAGCTTTCTTTAAGTTGACGAGCAAGGCTACAAATAATCGTTAACACACAAAAATGCAAGGCCCAGTGAGGCAGACATGCGCATTACATGCAATGGTAGGCCTTTTAAAGTGAGTAATCAGTTAATACTTTGTAAAACTTTGTCACTTCTCGAAATCATGGAAACACAACAAAACTTTCTGATTCCCCAATAAAGCCCTTCTCAATTTGCTTGGAACAAATAATCCAACAAAATGGCCTGTGGCTCATGTTGAAGTCGGAACAGAACAGGCCCCTCAGTTTACAATTGTTCTTGATTGATTAATTGAACAGTTTTGATTACTTTTCGATTAATTAACAGAACGGCCGACTTTTTTCCATACCGTAATTTCCATGGACAGTAACAGGATTGCGGGATATCTTTAGACCCTCAAAGAGGAACAGTGTCTCTACAGCGCATGTCATCCACTTGTGTCTTTCTGAAAAGTCATAGCACATGCAATGCTGTCGGATTTTTAGCCGTTTTTTTTTAATCAACTACGTTTTTTCAAAGAGTAGTTTTTTGTTGTAGAAAAATGTAACCAATGGTTAAAATTCAGAAAATCGAGTAACAGTTGCGACCCCATTCCGAAGACAGGCCCAAGCTTTGAGAAAAGCAACTAGAACTCTTTTAAAGACGACGAATTGTATACAAGTCAGCCTCATGTGATTTAACGTATGGGATGTTTGTCTTTTCCACAAGCTCCCAAACCCCCTTCTGTACCAAGTCACTTATGGCGTCCTCGGTCTCAATGAAAGCTTCGTTCTGTTGATCTCCGGACACTACAGCCTTGCTGACAGCGAACACCATGAATCCGCCTGAGTTATTTCACACAGAGACACACAAGTTAACCGAAATGTTCCAATCAAAGCTGCTTTAAAGGGACAATGCAATGAATTTTTCTTACAATCACGTTTGATACATGCTTAAACTCTTCTACAATGTATGAAAACTGTTTGAAATCTTGTATGAGTTCAGTGAACTATATACGTGTAATGCACTTCTTTAAACATTTGAAATTAACCAAGTTTTTGAAAAAGAGGAGTGAGGGCGCTGTTAGTGTGATGTAAATCTAGGAAGACACTGTTCAGTTTGTGTGCTTTCGTGTTTAAATTTTGAACCCCAAATTTGCTCTTCAGAAACATTTCTGAGAAAAGGCCAAAGGACATGGAAGTCTTCAATAGCGAAGTAAAAAAAAATCTAGCAACATTTGGAGAACAAATCAATGAAAAACTATGGTCCAGCACCTTGGTTTACTTGTACATCACAGTTTTACTCATGAATATTCAAATTCATATTAGCATAAAATTTAAAAAGGCTCTAAAATTGAAACACGCAGGTGCAATCAAGGATGTTAGTAAAATATTTCTGATGGAGTGGTCCCAAACCCCACTTGTTGAACACGGTTCCAGGTTCTCCCAGGTCTGGGGCAAGGCCATAAATTCAGGGCTATCCTGATCACGCGCAGGCAGTACGCACGCGTTTCATGTCAGACCAATCCATCTAGAGCAGAAAGACCCCTCAACAGTTGAAAATAATCATGCTAGTGAGTAGTGTTCATTTTGTTGGTTGCGGTAAGACCGGAAAGCTTGCAACTCATAGTCGTTCGTGAAACAGCGATGTGCAACTCCCTGTTAGGGACCACTATTGCCAGGAAATAGCGCGCCCCCTCTTGGTCTCGCTTGGGGAAGATAGGGTGTTATGACCTGCCAAAAATTAGTCTTGGGCCAAGACGGCAGAACTCGATAGCGGACTCGATCGAGCGTAAAATATGCCGCGTGCGCCGATTTCCATTGAACGAAGAACGAGCCGTCGATTGGCGAAATAAAGTCAAGAGAGGGCGCAATAGAAATCGGCGCGCGGCATAATGCTCGGTCAAGCTCAAGTTAGAACCAGTGTGTGAGCGTGATGGTCTGGCAGGAATGGTGTCTCTTGGATTTGTTTACTGGTCAACGCCCTCTGGATGTGTATTTCCCCCTGAGTGTAAAATTAGATATCATCTATTGAAAGCCTTCTAAATCACACAGAGCTACCCTGCTTGAATTATGTTAACCGGGGACGAGGTTCTTGACAAGATTAGCAGTTGCACGTACGTCATAGGTCGCAAATAAGAACCAACAGAATGAAAAAAAAAATTCCCAGATGTTCATTAAGCAACTAATAAATGTCTAAGGCTGCAATGGTAGGAATAATCTCATGAAGTGTCAAACTGGATGTTGTACTCCGTTTGGCTTCAACTTTCGAAAGAGGTTGTACCTCTTCGACCAATAGATTGTTGCCAAATCGGCACGCGCGCGTTAAGCTGAGGAATGTGTGTGTGGGTCCGGTGCCATCGCACTTATGGCGTCTACTCGGATTAGTCCATCAAGTCAGTGAAAGTCGCCATTTTATTTAGTCAGTCCCAGGAAAAAATGCAAAAAAGTCTTCCTCTTCAAACTTTGTTCGTGCTTATTAAAAGCGACCCTGTGTGTCTTACAATAAAGAAATAAGGCCGGTCTTAAATCTGCGTTTAAGACCGGCTCAGGAGAATGGACGCGACCAACGCTCGAGCCGCAGGGGGGCATTATCAGCGGTCGTTCTCCTGAGCAAGGTCTTACACGTTAGTTTAAGATCAGCCAAGCACATATTTATTCCCATTCATAAATACATTTTTATTCAGAGAGTCAAAAGAAGTCAAAATGGATTTCCAACGATTTTGTTCTAACATTTTACTTTCATTTTCACGGGTTATAGGGTGTGTCCAACCTTATGGCACTGCTTCCAAATTAGGCCAATGTGTTGTAGAAGATAGCAGGTGTAATCAATTGCAAGCGATACACCTTGCGTAGTGACTTCAGTGTTTTGAGATCCCAAAACTTCATCCTTTAGTGGAAAATCGTAAAGACTAGAATTCCAGTCTGATGAAAACGGACACCCGGAGTAAAAAGGGGAAAAACTTAAAGTTTCATGAGCTAAAATAAATGAATCCATTTAAATGAATCCTTTTAAAAAGCATTGTGCCAAAAAGGAGATGCTCATTCTAGCATATCTTGATTTGAGATTTTGAAAGTTTAAGTGTAGTTTAATCTTTTTTTAAGTTTCTGTTATTCTGTCCAACCTTTTCATGGAGATACAAAATGTAGTAAGTTTACCTTTTTTTACTATCCGTGTCCATTCAGGAAAAGCGTCCTGTGATATGTGTCCAGCACTTACACCACCAACACATATCAAACCACTGTAAAAACCTGCATGGCAAAATGGAAACAACGAAAAGCTCAAACAAATAAAGATGGCCATTTTAATTGGGACGAAAGTTGCTACCTGAAAACAGGCCTCAACATTTTCGCTGTGAAAAGCTATAAGACAAAGACAAATGGATTCACGTACCATCACCGACTCCTTTCAGCTTATGTTTGCCAAGACTGTCACAAATTAGCCTTTCGTAGACTCCTTTCGAGGCACTAATGTCCAGGCTTTTGGGGGAGATGTCCACCGCATCTATTCTTTTATAGCCACGCTTAGCCAACTGAGTGAATGGTAACAGAGAGATAAAAAGAACCAAACAGCTACTGCAAAACAATTAGTTAAGAGTACAGTGGGTTTTTGATTTGGATGCAAGTAAGCATAAGTCCGATTAGCTGCTCTGCTGAAATAACCAGTTAACGTCAGATTTTCCTTCCTGAAAAAGCTGCTGGGAAGGGTTTTTGTACCGGCTAATTCTTCAACCTTGCAACTGCGCTTTGACCTAACCAAGCACGACGCGTTAATACGTCAGCCATGGAAATAAAAAAGAATTCTTACACGAGTGTACACGTCCTCCGTGTAACGAATAAGGTAAATAATGTGTGCACCTCATCCAGCGTCAAGTGGATGGGCATGCAAAAAGGCCTTTTATAACATAGCATGCCAAGGAGGTTAAATTTTGGACGATAACATCTCGAAATGAACGTGATGAACTTTTAATAATTTCCACAAACCAGCTAGTTGTTGAAATGATCATCACCAAACGTATACTGCTCCTTCAAAAAGAGATGTGTCAGTGGGCAGTTTGTATAGCATATTGTTGGTTCTTTCCGGACGGCCAGCAGAGGGCCGCCGACACATTGTCTGAATGCACCGACGTGGTTCTAGCTAATGCAAGCTCCAGGAATCAGTTTCTATAAGCACACCACTTACTTCAAATGGAAGGGTTTTAGCAAGCATCCAAGGCAGAATAATCTATTACAACTGAGTACAAGTTATGGACCTCAACTCGCGAATCCAAAGAGTGGCGGGATACAATACTGAAACGTTGTGTCTCGTTTTCGAACTCACCTCTTCACCCGCTTTCCCTGTTCCCGCGGCACAGTCCACGATGAGGGCGCTCTTGTCGGGCATCGCTTTGGAGAGAGCGTCAACGCACAAAGCTGGACCTTTGTAGTGTTCCTTTTCCAGGTCCTGAAAGGGACAGATTTAACAATTAGTCTGGTTCTCCGACCAAAAGATGCATTCTGTTTTGAGGGATCGCTTGGTCCTGTGGCCGCCAAGGACAACAATGGTATGAATTCCTCCCGTTTCCGAATATTTCCGAACCTTTCAATTCAATTCAATTCACATTTATTTCCATACTCTT